CTCCCCATCCTGAAATCTTAATTTAGACGCGGCAGATTTTTTTTACTCAAGTGTTTTGTGCTTACTGCTGAGATTAACGAACAAAACGTGACTGAAATCCATCGTGTACACGTGACACTCCGCTTTACTGTTAGCACAAATGCGGGAGATCAACAAACACAAGTTTCCTTGAGGTCATTTACAATAAAAAATGTGGGTGGTCTAAAATTTGAATCCCACAGGTTTTTAATTACCGTATACTTTCTCAACACGGGATCCTGACTGATCACATTTTGATCGTTGTTCACGGCTGTATGTATTTCATTTCTTGCTCTTTTAACGAGGAATTTTGTTGATACATTCTTCATTGACTTCATGCTGCTTAGCAGTATGGGGATTATTTATTTTGGCTCAGGATCATTTCCCGTTAAGCTTGTTACCTTGTCTTTGTCGACATTTAAAAGTATAAACCTTTCTTGGTGGTCGTTCGTAATTGCAAGGAATGCCTGGAGACCTCTCTGACACAAGCCTTCGTACTCTTCCTAAACAAACCACCGCTTCGTCTGAAGTGGTGTTTTGCTACTGTTTCAAATGTTGTTTTGAATTTTATTATCCAAATACAGCATCACAATCAATATTTTTGGCCGACATGACATTGACCTATAAATATCTTAGACAGAAACATTATTTGAAAGATGTGTTCCTGAAATGATAGACTTCGCACTATACAAGTTGTTTCGGGATGTATGTAGTTCCCTTCTCGCACATTTGGAGCGACCGGATGTAGACAGCATGAATGGAATGTGATGTTTAGAGTCCTCCACAGGGCTCAAGATTATCATGTTTAGTTACTGAACAAAGTTTGATAAATTTTTGATAAGAAGGGTTTAGTATCAAGCGAGACTTGACCTGAAAGAGACAAAATCTTGACTTTTCTTGTTCTGTAATTGTTTGCGCAACTTGCGAACAAACGCACACACGCGATCTTCAGCAAGGGCTTTGCTTCCGCGCTGGAGGTTTTCTCGAGCTTGGCTAATCCTCAAAAAGCAATAATAAGATATGTCCAAAGGCTGCAGTATAAGGTGCTCCTATTAAAACTGAGGATTAAAATTTCTTGATCAAAGTACTGGATAATAATATTGCAGGATGACACGAACTCTTCCAAAAAAAAAAATAATAATCGTCTGCTTTCCGTCCAACTTCCATCATTTGTCACACCAGATGGCAGTTGCGAAATCCAATAATTCACTCTTTTTACTTCGCATGGTCTCTGCTCGAGAAATATTTCGGTGACAGATTTTACTTTTGCCGCGACAAATACTGAGAAGCTTCTTTAAATTCGTTTTCAAGCGGACAATGTAGTATAGAGTACGTTCGTTTTCGACCGTACTTTTGCTCTCATGGACAATGTACCCTCTAGCTAAACTGGAAACTGAAGAAACGGTCCTAAATGAAATCATTGTGATGCTTTTGTTGTGCGTGAGGGCAGCCTTGTGGGAGGAGTCGGGGGCGGGGACAGTCTTCATCACGCAACGAATGGATTCGAATTACGAAATCGGTTGAACAGAATTACGGTCAGATTCATTTTATACAACAAATTCAAGTTTATAAGGATGTACGTATGCTCGAGAATCTTCCTTTTCGAATTTTCTTTGTATTTAGACAAATAGGAGGAAGACGAAAGAACGATATATTCTACTTTTGGTTTAATGAAAGAACGAAGGCCAAAATTTAAGGCTTCTTGAAATTCGTTTTCAAGCGTACTTTTTGCGCTCGTGGGCGATGTACTCTATAGCTAGACTGAAGACTAAAGAAACGGCCTCAAATGAAATCATTGTACTGTTTTTATCGTGCTTGAGGTCAGCCTTGTGGGAGTAACCGGGGGCGGGGACGGAATCAAATAACGCAACGAATGCAAATACACAGATTGAGTTTATACTACAAATTCAAGTTGTTATAGGCCTTTAAATGCACTGATATCCTCGTTTTTTTAAATTGCTTTGTATTAAGACAAGTTAGAGGGCGAAGTAAAATGGCACCACACGATATATACTCAAAAACGTCATCTCAAAAACGCTTTCTACTCGTAAAAAAAGCTCTCGCTCTAAAGCATCGCTTAATTCATAAGACGAAAAGCCAGGCAAATCATCTGCAAAATTTATGGAATCGTTCTCGTGCTCTTTAAGAGTCGTGAATTCCTATTGGCTTGCACCGCCCCCCGAGATACTGTGATGCCTTGTTGCAAGGGTGTGAATCTCTCGCTTCATAAACGTTGTAAACGATTTTGTGGTACGAATCAGTTCAGAAAAAGCGTAAAAGACTCGCTTAACGTAACTTAAAGTTAAAATTCAGTGTCAAAATAATGGAATTCTTATCTCACCTAATCATCAAAGCTTTCTTCCTTCGACATTTACAGTCGGCACACTCAAGAGTGAATATTCTTTTACAAACATCAAGTCTGCACGTTTATTGTCATTTGTTTCTTTAAGGTTCATCTCTTGATCTCTTTGATAATATAGCAGCAGTATTTGTCTGGAGACATGCTGTGTTCTGTTGAGCGTGTGGATTCTTGCTGCTGGGGGAGTATCGGGGGCGTGTACGACTCAGATAGATTGCGTTACAAGCACAATGAAAACATGCTACTATCTTCGACTTATCAAAAAATGTAACCCTTGTAATTATTGATTGAATGAGTTTGAGCACTTATCAGTTATTCAAAGATTTTTATGTAGAGACTAGTACAAAAATGATTTGAGTAACAGTATGAGTTTGGGGCTGATTGCAGCGATTCAGCCCAGAATATTGTCATTTTTTGCATTGCACTGCAATCATTCATTAAAACTTACCCGTTGATATTTTGCCAAGGTTATTCGTAGATGAATCATTGAGTTCTCAACTTAGCAGACGAACGCAGCGAATAAAGAATCATTGCATTAGGCTAAAGGCTGATGAGTGGAAACTTTGTAAGTGAAAAAAGGGCTTCCTGCCTCATACATTGCTGGAAAAAATTATAAAATGTAAGCCATAACTACTTGTAATGAAACCCGAACAGTGGACCATTAATTTTGTAATCTTAACGGATTTCTTTTCTCTTTTTGATCATTTATTATGGAACATTTGGCACCTTCATCGGAAAACTCTCGCATAACAATTAATCCCAGAGAACCAGACATAAAAAATCCAATAACCTCACAGAGGTTTATACTTAAGCTTCATGCGACGAAAGAGTCCTTTTGGCTTTTCGAGGGTTGAATCAACACGTTCTACCGTGGGGTTAACGTTTTGAGCCACCGAAATACGGTTGGAACTCAAAACATTTTACAGTGCTTTCTGTGGGAAAGATGCCAATATCAACCTTCTAGAGGGCTGTGAATGAAAGCTCTGGAATGGAGATGTTAAACATGTTTGTGATGACTGTTTTTAATGCAGCAACTTGACATTTGTGTATCACTGAAACAGAGAATACAGACACGACCTTACAGGAATCTGACCACAAGCATACTTCTGGGTCTGTGGCTTCATCGTCGTCTGCAAATGCAACCTACTAGTACACTGCACAACTGCTAAGATAAACAACGCCACCATCAATGTAGTTATTTTTTTTGTATTTCCATAACGGGAAAATCACTGCGGCAAAATTCTTAGTTAAAGAACTCAAGCGTTTAGAGAGGCCAAGTCGTAATCTACTTACTTCGCAATATACATGATTTAGGTGGCTCTGATGGCTACAACATACGTCACAACTACAAGAAAAGTTGGACAATATTTGATTTGGGACATGTTTAAATTACAATGCCCTGTCTTATTCGATTCAGTCTGTGAAAGGAAAAGGCTTCCTGTTTGGACAAAGTAATGTCAACAAGATCTCTTTATTTTGGTCTTACCAGAACCATGGTTTTAGACTCAACACTCTTTAAATGTCATGGAGATGATTTTGTATTTAATCGAATCAAGTTCATTTTAAATGGTGGGATCGGCTTCCTACAGGCTTATAAACAACACTCCCTCGTGATAATCGCAAGTTCACAGCTGCTACAGGCGAAAATACATACACATTTATTTTCAAAATATAGGAAACTATAGAACAGGATGGATTGAGACCATACGAGCTCGCACAAAGACCTATAGCTAACAAATTTTAACATACTCTCTCCGAGGAGTGAGGTTTCCTTACTAAAATATTCCCAGTTTATTTCCAGTCTACTTGTACCAAAAAAGACAAAGTTCTCTTTTCCTAACACACCCAGTGATTAGATTGTTCCTCTTTATTGTTTAATCAAACCACGACAATAGAAAAGGTCTTTAAAGTCTAACCAACGGCACAAAAAGACATGTTGTAATAACAAACGGTTGCCTAAAAATCTAACCTTTGAATTTTGCATGTTTTTTTGCTTCCGAGCCGATACGAATGCTCTACGCACTGACAAGAGTTGGCGTTGTCATTGTTGTGATTGATTTCAATTGGTTTTTGGAGGAGGAGGTTCTGGAGGCGTTGTACCAACCACTTCATTATAATTCAAGTGTTACACTGATACAGTAACCTTTCTTTGATGGTCAAAAATCTTCTCAAGTTCGAACCATTACGCAAAACGGTATCCACGAATATTTGTGCGCCTTTTTAGTTAAAATCTTTTTTATTTTATGAAACTGAGAAGAAAAAGGATAAGGCGTGTGCAACGTAGCGAGATCATGGCATTACTTTTTAGTTGCCACGGAGCAGTGCGTGAACGTACAAACAAAAGTAGGAAAGAATCCTTTGAAACTAGTAAACGCATGAACAAATTAAACAGAGACAAAAATAAAGACTGCTTACCCTCAAGGTTGAAAGTTGCTTGTTCTTTTAGTGGTCCAGAAGCTGAACGAAATTACCTGTTGTTGTTGTTATTACATCCGTATTTATTCGTTTTGGAGGCGTAGCTGGAGGCGGGGTCATATCGCATTACCCAATAATATGTCTCGACTAACCGGTCCTCTAAAATCCACTTCCTTTTCCATGATTGGCCAAATTGAGTTAAACAACAAAATTCCGGTTTTTCCAGAAGGATCTTGTTTTTGTTATCAATACCTATCTGCCTTTTGTTTTATCAATAATATTTCAAAATTAGTTTGCAAGTTAATACGCGAAATGAACGGCACTTCCGGAAACGGCGGCATCTCCGAAACCGCAAGCAGTCACAGCTTTCCGCGTAAAAATTTTGGCTCGATAACAGAGCTTCTAGAACATTTGCTTCTTGTATATCTCGTAAGCACAAACAAAACTATATTTCTCGTGACGTTTTTTCTTTTTCAGATTGGTAAAGCGAGTTAATCAAGGGCGTTCCCTTATATCAAGGACGTAATTTCCGCTAGGTATGATGCAAGGACCTCACAGGGGAGCTTTATGGGGGATGAAAGAAACTCGCACACGTTGATATCCTCATCATATTTCTTCCAAAGTTACAATAAGGAAAACTGTGCGTTTATTTGATTAGAATTTATTTCAGCTTTTGCATACCAAAGAACTAACCAGAACTGACCTTTACCTTATAAACCCATCTTGGCCTTCACGATTTTAGCTAAGAATGGCCTCGGCGGGAGGGGGATCTAGGAAATTGCTACAAACAGTGGGTAAATTTCTTTTCAACGTTATTCTGTTAGCGTTTGCCAGCCTCCGTGTAGCAATGATAGTGTATCTGGTCTCACACAAGTACTTCGATGACTTATTAATTCCAAAAAGGGCAAAAACAAATGAGTTTCGCTGGTCATGTCCTGATTTCTTCACAAAATTGCATTGTGCTGAAAAATTTGTTGCAGTGGTATAAATGTGGTTTACTATCTACATGTTGCGAGTTAAAATGTTTGCCATACAATCTTACTTATCCTGGCTAAGTTTCCCTAAGAAGAGCGCCAAAGCAGAAATCCTCGATTTTTAGCGTTTCTTGTCGTAGAGGTGCACCATTTGCCCCACGAAGGTAAGGCGGCCCTACCCTAAACTGCCCCCTCCCCCCCTCCGGCAAATCTCCTACATAATTTATAAGGAGAGGAGATGTCACAATCCGGATTTGCTGTTTAAGGTTAATCTTAATGTATGTCAAGTAGACCTGTGACGGGAAGTGACCCTTAACATAACGTTGGTTTTCCATGTTGTTCTAGTTCTTTTTAATGCATTTCATATTACAGTATTTTTATTATCAGCGTTTTGATATTTTATTTTATTTCATATGTTGTCCCAAAAACTCAACTAGAGGACGAAATTGTAACGTAATTATATAAAAGTGCCTTTATTTTTACGATTTTTTCGCAGAACACACCTCAGTGTCAAACGACAAACCACTAATCTTGAAATTGTCGTCTGATAAGGTGAGAAAACACGCGAGAGGAAATTACTGGCCAAATCAGGAAAAGCGAATAGATTAGCGCAGATTACGAGTCCCCAACATGTAAAACGAATAATTTTTATATTATCAGACGTGGCTGACCACAAATGAGCGTACACGACGAAATAAAGAACAAAAAAACTGAGGAAATGTAAATGAAAGTTGTCATTGGCGACATAACTCTTTGTGATGCAAGGATTGTTACTGGTAGATATGGAGCCAAGTTTTTTTAACTGTAAAAAAAAAAAACCCTTGGTACCTAGAGCTTCCTGAAGCATGGACTTGAACTTGACATTAGTATATCACCACATAGGACACCCAGAGATTCCGACTAATGCGATGAAAAATTTAATTAGTCGCAATCTGAAACTTGCTGGTATCAATTTTAGTATTAAATCTCAAACGCTTACGGGTACACTGAGTTCCTTTCCGAGAATTTAATCCACTCCTAAGAAAACAGCATGCACTAAATGGCTGGAAAACGGAAATCAGGAATGAAAATCGTCCTGAAAACCCTCTGGTGTTTCCTTGTTGGTTATTTTTTTTTCTCTAGGGTCTTAGAGTTTTGCAATTATTTGCCAGATTACATCGACTTAAGTATTTCATAGCATGCAGAGTTATTTCAAAAACAGGTTTACTCAGCCCATAATCTCGCTACTGATTTTATTGAGCTGTAATCACTAATCAACATACGGTGATCGGTATTTCTGAGGGTCATAGTTAAAAAATTTACCTTGACTTTTGAACTTCCCTAAGAACAGGCGTAAATAAAAACAACAGAGCATAGAAAGCTTCCAACACTTGCACGCCTGTTTCCCTCTCCGGATAGAGACTTTTAATCTACTTAATTTATTAACCACCCATTTGTCGCAATAGTTGTCGCAATATGTTCTAAAAGAGTTGAAACGGAAGTTATGAAGGTAATGTGCTGATTTCTCAAAAACTCCCTGCATTTGCACGCAGATTGTTTTGCGACGATAAGAGTTCATAACCACGTCCCAAAACGGAACGATTTTACTTTCTCTTTTGACGAGACAATCCGCTTCTATTTATTTGGAGTTTACGTGAATACTGAAGATAACGCTAGATTTTTTTTTTTTTTAGTTCGCGTGGCATGGTAATATTAGGAGAGATAAATCCCTCAGTTATGAAATATGAATTGCTT